ATCAAAGACTGGCCTAAAAAGATACAAAAACTGGTGACAGACTTGCGAATAACAGGATCAGATGCCCAGTCAGCATCACTAAAGGCCTCCAGTTTCAAAGAGCTGTGACTTGGATAAAAGATGCCATGAGAAGAAGAACCTTTAAGATACTTCAGGATACGAACAAGAGCAGTCCAATGATCCTGACAAGGATTCTAAACGTGACGACTTAATTGCTGCACAACAAATGTAATATCAGGGCGCGTAAACCCTAAGTACAAAAGTTGACCACCAGTTTACGATAAGAAGCTGGATCTGACAACGGAGGTCCAAGCTTATCGGTGAACTGGTGACCCTTAGGTAAGGGAGTGGAAGTAGGTTTACACCCTGCAAGCCCGGTAGTAACCAAAATATCCATGATATATTTGTGCTGAGAGAGATACATACCTTCTAAAGTTCAACAGAGCTCGATGCCGAGAAAGTACGTTGCAGCACCAAGATCTTTAATGGTAAATTGATGATCCAGGAAAGCCTTAACCTATTGAATAACAGTCTCACTTGCACCAGTTATCAAGATATCATCAACATATACAACTAAGGCAACAAATGCACTGTTAATAAAACCAGTAAACAGACAGGGATCATGTGACGATTGCTGAAACCCTAACTTCTGAATTTGTGCCGTAAACTCGAGGTTCCACTGCTTCGACGCCTGTTTAAGACCATAAAGTGATCTCTGCAGTTGACAGACTTGATGAGGTTGATCTGAATGATAGCCTTTAGGCAGTTTCATGTACACTTCTTCATCCAAGAAGCCATGCAAGAATGCGTTATTAATGTCTAACTGATGGATAATCCAATAAGAAGCACTAGCAATAGCGAGAAGTAATCTCACAGCAACCACCTTAGCAACCGGAGAAAAACTATCATAGTAGTCTTCTCCCGCCACTTGAGTATATCCCTTCGCAACAAGCCGGACCTTATATCGGTCAACCGTTCCATCAGGGTGGTATTTGACCTTATACACCCACTTACAGCCGATGGCACATTTTCCCTTTGGTAAGTCTGTCAATTTCCAGGTCTGATTGGCTTCAAGAGCCTGTAATTCAGCTTCCATAGCTTTGACCCAAGTTGGATTAGTTCTAGCTTGTGAATAAGTCTTTGGTTCAGGAATACTGGAAACATTTGCTAAAAAAGTGATGTGGGGAGCTGAAAAACTGACATGATCTAGTAAAGGCGATGATAATGAAGAAGTAGGAACCACACTATTTGAAACATATTGATTCATCCAACTAGGTGGTGTAGTAGGTCTGGAACTCCTTCTAAGTAAAGAAGGATCAAGCACTTCTGAGATTGGAGAAGTGATTGGAGCAGATTCAGGAGACGGAGTAGAATGTCTGACAGGGCTAGGAGGTGATGCAGGAGTAATATCAACAGGCTGAAAAGAATCAAATAGACTAGGATTGGAAATCCAATCAGAAGGTTCTAAGGATGGTGGATCAGGTTGAGAATTTGTAAGGTACGGAAAGATGGTCTCATGAAAGACCACATCCTGAGATACAATGACCTTTTTGTGAACAAGATCATACAATTTGTAGGCCTTTTGGCCAGGAGGGTAACCAATGAAAACTGCTTTAAAAGCTCTGGGATCAAATTTTGATTTATGTGGCTGGGTGTTGGTTGTATAACATAAGCAACCGAAAACCTTCATATGATTTAGAGTGGGAGGCTTAAAGTGAAGAATCTCATAAGGAGTTCTCCAGTGTAAAAGTGGTGAAGGAAGGCGATTTAGAATATAAGTAGCAGTTAAAATGGATCCCCCAAAAAAAAACTGTAAAGGTAAACCTGACTGAAACATCAAAGATCTAGCCAGTTGTAGCAGGTGTTTATGCTTTTTTTCGACTAATCCGTTTTGTTGAGGAGTGTAAGGTGCTGATCTCTGATGAACAATACCAAGATCAGAAAAAAGTGATTAACATTCTCTACTAAGAAACTCTAAACCATTATCACTTCTAATTATTCTAACAGACTGATCAAACTGATTCTGGATCATTCTAAGAAATCTGGTAAGAATTAGAAGTGTTTGTCCCTTAGTTTGCATTAGAAGGGTCCAAGTGGCTCGACTAAAATCATCAACTAAGGTAAGAAAGTAATAGGCTCCATTTAAAGAGGAAGTTTTATGTGGTCCCCAAATATCCACATGAATCATTTCTATAATTCTGGAAGATTGAATTATTCTTACAGGGAATTTAAGTCTCTGTTGTTTAGCAACAGGACATACAGAACAAATCCTATTCTCTGTAATATTAGAAGACAAGACTTTGAGTTTACATAGAACAGAATCTGGTGGATGTCCTAATCTATTGTGCCAAAGCACGTTATTATTTGTATGAACTAAGTTGACTGCATGAGCTTGAGAAGGCTTCATTTGCAGCATAAAAGGATGACTGATGTGAGAAGAGACAAAGTTTCAAATGGTTTCAGGTGAAAATGATGTATTGTCTAGATAGTAGAGTTTGTTCAGGACCTTTCCAACAGCCAGAAGTTGCTTAGTCTTCTGGTCCTGTAACAAACAATAGGATATGGAAAAGAGACAATCAATGTGAGAAGCTGTGGCTAGTTTGTTGACAGAAAGAAGATTGTAACGGAAAGAAGGTATGTGAAGACACACTGTAACTTCTAATTGATTAGATAATCTAGCTGTGCCGATATGTTCTACGTGTTTGACAGTGCCATCAGGTAAAGAAACAGGAGTATAGCAGGTTACAGGTTTATAGCTAATCAAAAGAGATAGTAAAGCAATCATATGTGCAATAGCTCCAGTATCCAAAAACCAAAGCTTAAGAAACTTATTCACAACAGAACTAATAGCACTCAAAGTTGTATAATTGTTCATACATGCAAAGTCATGATAGTGGGCAAAGTTGACATTCTCCTCATCAATAGTCATCTTGCCTTTCATCATCCTCATCAGGTTATTCATAAGCAGCATCATTTCCTCATTTGCAGGTGTTGTAGCTTTATCCATTGTTTTCTTAGAATTTGGTGATGCATCTGCCAAGTTTATTGATGATCTCATGCCAGTCCCTTTCCTTGATTCCTTGTAGCTGTCCCACCAATCTGGATAGCCAACCAACTCAAAACAGTCTGCTCTCAGATGACCATTCATGTGACAGTGATCGCATTTGGGCAGCCTTTTTGCTGCTTTGTCTTGTCTGATGTCATTCTCCTTTCCTGAATAAGTAGAACTCCTTGTTGACCCATTCATAGGCTTATTTCCTGTCTGTGAACCTCCACCTGAAGATCCATAGTTATAACTTGCAGAGTTTGATATGTTGTTGAACACTCGTTTCTGGACCATCATAGCACTTTGTTCCAATGATTCCACAAGATTTCTTTGCACTACTAGCTGTTTTTCAACATTTAGAACCATAGTGTACGCCTTCTTCACCTCAGGCAAAGGATCCATCATGAGAATTTGGTTCCTCTCACGACTGTAAGACTCATTCAAACCACTAAGGAATTCCATCAGTTAGCGACGACTTTCACGACTTCCTTTATTATTTACTCCATAATTACAGGTATCAGGAGGATCAAGAAACAGTAATTCATCCCAAAGTCGTTTCAGTTTTGAATAATATGCAATTAAACTCATATTTCCCTGTGAAATAGTAGCTATCTCTCTCCTTAAATGATAAATTTGTGGTCCATTACGTGTACCATAACTTTCTTTGAGTTCTTCCCACAGATCATATGCACTCTTAGCCAAATCATGATTTTCTACTAATTCAGGCGCAATTGAATTCAGAATCCAAGTGATTACCATATCGTTGACTCGCAGCCATTGCTCATGTTCTGGATCTCCGATTTCAGGCATCTTCTCTGCTCCGGTGATAAATCCGAGCTTATTCCTTGTTCCTAAAGCTCTCCGCATCGCGTGACTCCACGGGATGTAATTGATTTCATTCAACTTCGTTGGTATGATGACCATAGACGAGTTGTCTGAAGGATGCAATACGAGCGGATGTTGATAACCGCCGTAGTTTGTGATCTCTCGATCCTCTCTTCGCTGCTCCTCGCGTTGATTTCCAGCACGATTTGCCACAATTCTTCTTCAATTTGCGAAAAATTCTACTCACAAAGCTTAAATTTCAAGAACCAGAAACCCTAATTTTTGGGGCTCTGAATTTCCGATCAAACTCCGATCTATTGCAATACAATTTCTGGCATAGAGCAGGACCTTAATCCTACTCTGATACCATCTAAAATTGGTAGCGAAAGCAAAGCAATTGATGAAGATTGAAGATTTGGTTTTGACGGAATATCCAAGAAGAAGATTTTGTATTTACTGCTCAAAATGATTATTATGTTTGATAATTACTCTATACAGACACATTGAGTATATATACATGACTTAACCGCTTTAACTAACACTGACTTGTGACTATTTACAACTAGGTCTCTACTTTACTGATTATTTACAAAGTAACCTAGCTAATCAGAAAACCTGTACTATATACATTTATGTACAATCATCAATCCAGCTCAATCCTGCAATGATGTATCCTCAGGTTCAGATTGATGAGAATGTTGTTCAAGATCGTGATCCATTATTTTCTTCTTCATTAGTACTTTAATATGTTGTGTATTTTACTTTAATTTGTTATTTATTCAAGATCTGGGTATATATATTGAAGGAAATTCATAAATTGCTTGGCTTCCATAAGTCAATTTTGTGCCATAACAATACATTTGCAGAGGTGATAGACAAATATGGTAGACCGTTGGTGTAAGCAGCAGTTGTGGTGGTGGAGAGGAGGTGGTAGTGGAGACGATAGGTTCGGAGTGATTTAAGGTGAGGGTATAAATGGAATTTCAAACCAATTGCTATGTTAGTACATAAATTAATAAAAATAGAGTTTCATACCCTTTACCATCTTTATACTATGACACCCATTACCAAGAATCAAACTTATGTTCAACCAGGCACCTTCTAAAAAAATTTCAGGGTCTTTGGCAACACATGACTTAGTTCATGAAATGGGCTATTAGAGCAGGCTGATCTGAAAGTCCACAGAGCTTTGAGCCCAATTATAAAATCATACTCGTCATCCAGCGAAAAATATCTCTTCAACTCGATCACACCAGAAGAACAAAATTCCCCCGTCTCACAAACCCTAGCGCTCCCTCTCATTCCTGATAAAAGAGAATCCAACTTTTCTTCTGAAAACCCTAAATCCATGGCGAAGAAGCGAAAGTTGGTTCGAGCTTCCCAAGCTGTCCAACAGCAACAACCAGAACCAATCAAGCAAGAGCCGGAGCCCTTACCTGAGCCGGAGCCTGAGCCGCCGACCCAGCCGGAGCCGGAAGCTGCACCAATGGAAATCAAGCAGGAAGTCGTTGGAGAGGAGGTCGAAGAAGAAGTAGAGGAAGAAGTCGAAGAAGAGGTGGAAGAAGAGGTCGAGGAAGAAGTGGAGGAGGATGGGGAAGAGGAGGAAGATGGGCCAATTAAAGTTGAACACGCCAACGGCGGAGAAATTGGAACCAGCGGTGGTGGTTCCGACGCGGATTTGGACGACGAGCCGTTTGAGAAGCTCGTGGAGCCTTTCTCGAAGGATCAGCTTGTGGTCTTACTCAAAGAAGGTGTTTCCAAGTATCCTGAGTTAATGGCGAGTGTTCGAAAGCTTGCAGATGCCGACCCTGCTCACAGGAAGATATTTGTTCACGGATTGGGGTGGGATACTACTGCTGAAACCCTAACGGATGTGTTTGGGAAATATGGTGAGATTGAGGATTGCAAGGCCGTTAGTGACAAGGTAACTGGGAAATCAAAAGGTTATGGATTTATTCTGTTTAAGCATAGGAGTGGAGCAAAGAAAGCCCTTCTTGAGCCTCAGAAGAGGATTGGGAATCGAATGACATCTTGCCAACTGGCTTCTGCTGGCCCAGTTCCTGCACCCCCTCCGACGGCAGCACCTCCAGTGTCTGAATATACCCAGAGAAAGATTTTTGTGAGCAATGTAGCAGCTGAGATTGATCCCCAAAAATTGTTGGAGTTTTTCTCAAGGTTCGGTGAAATTGAGGATGGGCCATTAGGCTTGGATAAGCTGACTGGAAAGCCAAAGGGCTTTTGCTTGTTTGTTTACAAGCATGTGGAGAGTGCAAGGAAGGCATTAGAGGAGCCCCATAAGAATTTTGAAGGCCACACCCTGCACTGTCAGAAAGCTATTGATGGACCCAAGCCAACTAAGCAGTTTCCTCACCCACAACAACAACAGCAGTCTCATCAGCAGCACTATGGCCATCCTGGGCATCCTGCAAAGAAAGGGAAGTATTCTACCGGGAGCAGTGTAGCTACCAGCTCTGCTGGGCATTTGATGGCCCCAACTAGTGGTCCGACAATGGGATATAATCCAGCCATTGGTGCTGCCCCCCCTGCAGCATTGACTCCAGCCCTTGGGCAGGCTTTAACAGCCTTACTTGCTACACAGGGTGCTGGGTTGGGGATCGGTAACTTGCTTGGAGGACTTGGAGCACCAGTGAATCCAGGAATGCCGCATGTAGGGTATGGTCAGAGTGCTGGTCCATATGGAGCTCAACCAGCGATTCAGGGAGGGTACCCGAACCCACAGATGCCTCAGGGTGTGAGACCTCAGCAAGGTGGTGCACCTTACATGGGTCATGGACATTAGGTGAGTAAAAAGAGTATGTGTTCTCTGAATTTTAGTTCTGACTATCTAATTCTATTATGCTATGGTCAGCAGTTAACTTTATTCTGGTATAAATTAAATTGAATGAAATACTGAAAAGAGTTTATAGCTGACAAGGTTGTGAAACAGTCCCCAACAAGCACCTTATTTTGAATTAAAAGGAAATTATGTGTTCAATATATGAGGTTGAACATTGTTTTTTCTAAATTAGGGCACTGTTTTGGTTTTCCTTGTTTAGATGGGAAAAAAAAAAGCATGAGTGCGAGATGGTAGGGAGCTAATTGGCATTTAGCTTATGTAGAAGAGAGAAAGAAATTGGCCTGTGTTTGTTTTTTTGAATTGGTTGAAAGCTTTTATATCTGTGAAGAGTTGTCTATTAAATTTGGAGGCCATTGTTTTCTTAGCTCCTTCACTCGTTTTCAGCATTGTGCATATATGTGCCTCCTCTCCTTATAAGCTGCTGGTTATTTTCTTGACCGTAATCATTAAATTGCACATTGAGGCTTATGCTGCTTACATGCAGTTTATTGCTTAGTAGTAGTGGTATCCGGTTTACTTTGTTGTTTATCTTTCCTCAGCTGTGGTATATTTACTTTTAGATGTGTGAGGTCCTGTAATTTTGCACCTGGCCAATAATACAGCTCTTGCGATCATTCTGACGCTGGTAATCGTGAGTTTAGGAGCAATCCAGTTACTGTGTGTTCAGTTTCAATTGGATTTGACTGCTCATCATGTCTAGGATACATGTTCCGTTGTTTGTTGCCGTAGCCTTGTCTCTGTTTTCTGACACGTTGAGGAGCTGGTTTTTCAGGACCTTGCCTCTTCTCTTGTATTCATGCTGTACTTATTGGGAATTAGGGGGATTTTTTTAATTATTTTTTTGAAGTTGGTCGATCGTACTTGCATATACTTCTCCAAAGACATCTTGTTTTTGCCATGCAACTGTTAGATCCATTATTTAGTTGCCAACTAAATATCCTTCAAGTGTTGCTTTTGCATAAGTTGGTATCAGAAGTTTCTGTGTCAGGTGAAATTTAGCATTTTTGTTCTAAAGTTTTGGTTTCATATGATGCAATGGTATTGAACTTATGATTTCAGTGTTTATATTGCTGTTCTGCCTAGATTCAAATTTTTTACCTTCAAATTAGGTTTTTCTCATTTTACATATTCACTGTGCAGATTCCTTCATAAATGCAACAAACTTTTAATTTGGACTGCTGATTCTTCTGAGGTTCCAGGCTGTCTTCCAAATGAAGTCTTTCTATTGTTGCAAAAGATATTTGCTTAAAGATCGGATTTCAACATGTATTTTCCTAGCAAGTACCTTTGCCCTTTTAAAGCTTTCAAAAGTTTGTAGTACTTTGTTTCAATGAACTTTTAAATGTTGAGCAGCAAGTAGACTATTTCTTAACATCTGGATTTGAAGATTGTGTACTGTTAAAAACTACTCATCTTTTTTATTCTTTTTCTTAAGTCATCTCTATTTTAGTTTTACGTGCTTTGTATTTAAATGTGAAATATCATCTGAACTTGTACGAGCTGCTCACCATTGATCCCAGAATGGGTGTTTCACGAAAATTATTTTCCACTTGACATGCCATTTCCTTGGCTGTTGTGTGCATCTGGCTTTAGTGAGTTTGCTTCATTGTATCGTGAAGGAATTCTTGTAATTTGAATGGTAACACTACTTTGGATTGTGGCACAACCGGTTTCTGTTGCAGCCTTGCAGGTTCTTGCCTTGTCATCTCAGTTTATGGTGGCCTGATGGCGCTGCTCCTGTTAACTTGTATTTTTAGGTTTGCAGTTGTTGATTTACTTCATTTTTATGTTGGTAGAATTCCCTCCCAAACCACCCACACGCACCTGGGCTCACATCCTCATTTTTTTCAGTGTCCGGTGTATTTTTTAATCCATTAGCATTTAGCTTCATCCTTTTGCAGCTAAATTTCATTTTTGCCAGCCTGTTTCAAGTTTTAACCTAGGATTAAGGATCATTTTACCCAGAATAATAATCCCATAACAGCTCCAGTGCTGCCTTTAATTGCCTTTATTGGACACAATCAGATTCTCAAAAGTGTGTAGTTTAGTTAAGAAAACTGTGTATTGGTCAGAGTTGGGAACGAGTTAGATAGTAACAACCCTTGGCACAACAAAGGGAGGTTCATAAAGAACAATCCTTGATTATGTTATAATAAGAAGCTCGTTATTTTTATCCTTTTTTTGTTTTTTGTGGAAAGAAATTGAGCGGCAACTATCAAGGCTTATTACGAGCTTTTCAGTGTTACAATTGCAGATAATCTCTCTCTCTCTCTCTCTCTCTCTCTCTCTCTTTTTGGGTAACATAATCTCTTTTTCATAGTAGAGGAAGTAATTGATTCTCTACGATATTGTATTTTATGCTGAATTGTTCTGAGTTTAAACATACGGATTATTATAGGGCATCCCCAAAGAGAACTTTTTATTTTTTGTTTGTAGGGTTTTTTTTTTTGGTAGTTTTTGTCTACATAAATATTAAATTAAATTATATTTTACTACTCTCAAAATTTTACACTCTCCAAAAAGTTCAGTTTATATTCTTGAACTAGTTATGCATAAGGTAATTTATAAACTGTCTCGTTTACAAATGGGTGGTTAACTATCATTATTCAGTTAATAAATCAACTCGAATGGGTGATATATATATATATATATATATATATATATATATATATTTTGGGATGATGTTTCACTGTTGGAGTAAATGTCCATGACGAAATGTGATCTGGGGTGAACCATGTGAAGAGGAAATCAAGAGCAAATAAAATAAGGGTAGAGGATAACAACTTTTTCGAAAATGTAAAACAAAGAATTTGTTGACTTACATTACATTATTCGTTAAGACATTCAACATATCACTCATTAACCACGTGTGCTGAGTAATAACCAGTGAAATGTGTTCGAGTTCAAGGTCACTGTCCGGATTAAGCAGACTTAAATTGACCATTTTTAGCTCAAACTTCTTAATTTGTGGGTACAACTGAAGGAACTGTAATCAACAAATGAACGTTGAAAAGAAAATCTGCAAACATCCATCAAGATCACATCTTTTGCTACAATATCTGCCATTGAAAAAATATGAATCGATGGATCATAGAACTAAAATCTTCCCAAAATGCGCAGTCCACAGCTAGAGAGCGGTTCAAGCATTTGATGTGAAGTTGAAGTTGGAACAAGTGGTTTGCTGAAACAGCAGAGTCGAGCTAAAACCAAGCCTGGATCTTGCAATATCGAACTGCAGAAGATTGTCCTCAATCTGGCGTCTCCCAATCACAATAGAAGTTCTTGGATTCAAACCCCCATCCACAAATCCAAGACAAAGGACATTCTTCTTCACTTGCACGTACGAATTCGACCCGAAAATCCTCCAAAACACAGACGGATTCTGGAGAACCAAGTCAATCACTGGAGCTGGAGGACCAACTCGTGTACTTCCCAAGCTTGTGGAATTGAAACACACCTCAAAAGGCGCTACTTTCGGCACTCTAGGAACACCAGAGAAAGCTTGAGCAAACGCTTTTGTTAAGGCTTTGTAGATTGAGGTTTCCAGGACAGTGTAAGGAACAACAGTACTGATCTTTGTTCCACCATTTCCTTCACTGTCGATTTTCAACAACGTTGAGTTAATCGAAAGGGTCTTCTCCCCAACTTTAATTGATTTCACCCCAATGAAGTATTCAACAGATTTCTCCCCCTGAAAGAAAGATCCAGCAGTGCTAACAGGGTTGATGAAAAGTGGTGTGTATGTCAGATTCTTCGACACGTCTCTGCCGGGGAGGAAAACGTACGGACTTTCCCCGAAGAAAATCACGCCGTTTGATCCCGGACAAATGGCGAATTTCCTCGGAAAACTAAAGGCGGCGGCTAATTGCGACGGCAGCCCAATCGGACCTCTGCCTAATCCGGCCATCCCTTTCACCCGTTTTGCAAGACCCTCCAATAGGAAAGTCGATCCACAAGTGAAGACCACCCTCGGGGCCGAAACAACCCGACCCGGATTCATCCCGTCGGTGGATTGGACGGCGACGACGTCGGTGGCTAGTTCGCCGATCGTGCTTGTTCTGGTTACAGAGTTGTCCGGGAACAGGGAACAGGTGTTATTATTGCATCCGGGTTTCGGGCCATCGTTGCATTCGCCGCAGGCTTTTGAGTTGGCCAGGTTGCATACTGCAGAGCGGCATTTGGCCGGTCTGTAAGACGAGCTTTTGTAGTTTTGCTCGCAATCGACCCATAAGAACTGGCCGCCGAGATCGACGGTGAGTTTGAGTGGGACGAGAGGTGTTCTTTGGCTTAACTGAGTCATGTATTGGCCGGTAGCTGAGTCTTGGGTTAATGGTAAGACCAGAGCTTTTGGTCTGAAAGAAGAGGTGGGCGTTTTCTGGGCAATGGCAATGGATGGAGTGAAGATCAGTCCGATCAGGAGGAAGAAATGTAGTGGAAATGTGGAAAAGACTGCCATTTTTTTTTAGTTCAAAAGAAATGGAATTTGCCAATTTGGTGGGTTTTTGTGGACTTGATTTATAGTGTGTGTTCAAATGAAGATGCTTTGTCAACGTTCATTAATTTGATTTGGATAAGTTTATATTAATTTCTGTTTCCCGACGCCTTTCTCTCCCCACTTTTTGTTTTTTTTTTTCACATATATAATATACACTAGTGTCACAACTCTTGACAAATGGTGTCATTTGAATGTAATTGAACTATACATTATAGTATGGGAAAGAATGATTTTACTTTTGTAAGATCATGAACAAAATGAAATGCAGAATCAATTAAAACATGCCCACTATTACGTATTAATACCATTGTGTGTTAAGTTGTGCATATTATCTTGTACTTTTCGGGAAAGTTTTTCGAGAAAAATTAAAACTTGTGCCATAGGTTTATTTATCTTAGATGTTTTGGAGATCTGATGGTGAGTCCAATAAAATTAAGCCTTAGAATTATTACTCATGGTAGTTCAGAGAGATTTAACTACCGCTTTTTAAATAAGGTTTTAAGTCCTCTTTTCTAAATCCCAAATTATAGTTAGCCTTATTCAAGGATTTTGGAGGTTTTGGATTTTATCTTAAGAATTTATTGATGATTGTATAATTCTATTTTTTTCTCCTAACTCGAAAGTATGATATTTGCACGTACATGAATCACAAATCCACAATGACCATATTATAAAACTGCAGACCATATTTTTCTTAGGGAATCTTTTTACTGACATTGAGTGCATGTAACTTTGTTCCATTATTAATCATCAAACTAAAATAATTGTAGAATCTATATGGTCACCACGACGGATTTGTGAATATAATATCCAATTGTTTAATGCAGATAAAGGGTTGTGCGACTTTCTGATTGCTTCACAAGCCAAGTAGGAACTTTCCAAGTTGCTACGTACACCAAAGAAACACTGGATTTGTCATTTTCTTCAATTTTAAATAGCTTTTTCTTTTTATTAAAATTGTTTGACCCAGAATTTCTTGCGTGTTCTTGACCAAAAAACTCGACAACGTGAGTTGTCATTTTGATTTTATTTTCACAATATGAAACTAATCACAGGAAAAGGTCATGTATCTCTATCTCCATATGATTCAATGAGTACAGAAATCCACGATGTTCCACCTCAAAATCAATTGGCAATAAGGGAAGTAACCCAGGGAGCTTATCAAGCAATGAGGGTAATAGCTCATGGAGCTTATATATTGATACTCAGAGTCTCCTGACACCGACGTGAGATTGAGACTCTTTAATACTCCTCCGCAAGTCTAACGTATTTTTTTGGGTTGGGCTTGTTCTATTTTTTCAGTCCAGGCACCACCTCACGTCTTAGCCCTATTTTTTTGTTGGGTTTTTTTGGAGTCCGAATGTCGGCGGACTGGCTCTGATACCATACAGAAGCCCGTGGGGTTCCAACTCAAAACCAATTGACAATGAGGGGAATAGCCTATGAAGTTTATATACTGATACTCAGAGTCTCTCAACACTAATATGGGATTAGTACTCTTTAATAATAAATATTTATTTGGTACCTGGGTTTGAACTTTTTCATCTCTAATAGATTTTCAAAGTTAATTTTGATCTTCTCATTGCTAAAGGGAAAAAAGAAGCTCCACCCTTAAATTAATCTAACTTACTCAATTCGGGCAAAATGTCATTCCTTTTGCCAATGTTTTAGCAAAGTTTGATTTTTGATTTTTTTTTTCTCAGAAAGAAAAATGACTTATTCCTCCTTGCGTTTCATACTTTGTCAATCTTGCTGCAAAAACAATCATTAGCCTGAAACCTTCAAGTGTGAGTTTTTGTAATTAGTAGCTTCTTGATGTGCAGATACAGTAGTATTGTAGTAGCTTTGGTTTCATGAACCCGGTCTTTTTGATTTGAACATCTCTAAAATTTTGCAATTCTAACTCAAAGAGGAAATAATCATTTGTGCAATATGTTTTGCAACTGTCCAATAAACTTATTGGGTGAAGTGAAACCAAACATAAAATAAAGCAAGTTAATTTCAAAATTTCTAGAGCCCTGAAAAGAACCCCCAGCACAAATACATACTCGTACACAACAGACCTAGCTCGGCAATTATTTGTATGAACTTAAAAGGACATAAAATGTCCGCTCACTGCACCAAAATTTTTACTCGAAACCTTTATACATTTCATTTTGTTTTTTTTTTTTTTCTTTCGGCATGTGTATATATGAAACGAGATGTGGAAAATAGTAATCCTCCGTTTGATTTTCTGCTGAATGTTTTAACGGACATTTTTACTTGTACACACTAGGTATTAAAGCCAACCGTTTGACCAAACAAAGCAACACATATAGAATTTTTAACAATTTTTAATATAAAATAGCAAAAGCGAAAATATTTATTATTTTATGAAAAATAGAAAGGTTGTTATAATGGAAACAAAAATGATGGTCAGGTTTAGTATTTTTCACTTTTAATATAAATTTTTATAAAAATAAAAATATAAAAGGAACAATTATTTCAGAATGAAGAAAGCACTAATTTGAACATAACTCAAAGACATAAAACTTTTATTATTGCCATCTACCAACAAATCTTATATTACTTGTCTATACATTTATTATTTGAGATATTTCCTTAATATGAAATAAGAATTCCCGGAAATTAAGTAAATATTTATTGCAAAATTATGAATGGGTCGCAAATATTAGCTGGGGACGTTATTAATTTGTACATACGGATTGCACTAGCTAGCTTAGTACAAATGTATATTATCGTGAAAGTCCTAGTTCATCTAGGTCACTTCTCTCCGTCCCAAAATTATTGTTTACTTTGCTCAAAAAATTGTTCCAAAATTAGCGTTCGATTTGACTTTTTAAGGATTAAGTTACACTTATACCCTTCTTATATTCTATCCAATTATACCAAAACGACATGGTTTTCTTTCTGAAACTGAATCATGAGCATCCCAAAAATTTGATTCATGTCCTCAATTGCGAGCTTCTTGTAACTGTAATAGTCTTGAAAGAACATGATTTATAAGAATTGGAGTAAGTTATTTCGGATGGATCCAAATTTGTAATATGATATTGTTGAAGATTTGAATTAGCAAGAAGAAACTGATCATGATCATGTTGATCATTTAGAATATGTAGGGATTTAATTGAAATAAAGTTGGTAGTTGACAAGCTCATTTGTAATTGACACAAAGTCACAGGACTCAATTCTGCGTTAAATGAGTCGGTTAACAGCTAATTGAGTATAAATGCAACCAGTGTTGTTTGATTCAGTTTGAGAATTAATACACAAAATTTTCTTCTTCTCCAAGATTGTAGAAACCCTGATTTTCTTTTCCAGATTCAAAACTATCAAAATGTTTCAATTGTTCATGATTTTAGATGGTATCAGAGCATGTTAATCTTGCTCTGAATCATTCCGCTGCAAATTCCGTTCCTCATTTTCAATTTTTTTCCTTGAATTTCTTAGCTGTAGATGAAGTTTCTTGATCAGACATTAAAAAGAAAAATGGTGAGAAATCACGAAGCTCGAAGGGAGGAATGAGATCCAGATGAGAACGCTGATGGATTTCAGCGTGAAGAAGGTGAATCCGTCAACTATGGAGGCTATAATCATCCTCTTACTTTGTTATCTTTAGACAATTCTGCTACAATGCTGGTTACAACTCAGTTGATGGACGTCTATGTTTCCTGGAGTTATGCCATCCAGCGAGCACTCGGAATGAAGAATAAGCTCGGATTCATCACAAGATCTATACCGATGCCAAATCTTAGGTCACCGGAGTTTGAACAGTGGAATCTAGTCAATGACTTGGTTGTTTCTTGGATTCTGAATTCACTTTCACCAGGAATAGTTGAGAACTACAATCTTGCAAACAATGCTCAGGAGTTATGAGAGGAGCTTAAGGAAGGCTATGGCACAGGGAATGGACCATAGATCTATCATCTCCAGCGAGAAATTGCCACCGTCAAGCAGGGTAATGTCTCTCTGGCTACTTACTATTCTAAATTGAAACGATTATGGGATGAATTAGTTTTGACAGATCCACCAGATGATTGTGATTGTGGAGGATGCACTTGTTGTTTTAATAGGCAGGTTAGCAATAGAGAGAACAAAGTTAAATTGATGCAATTTCTCACTGGACTTAATGATGGTTATAAGGAAGTAAGAAACCATATCTTGATGCTTGAACCATTGCCAGAAGTTAGAAAGGCTTATACTATGGTATTGCATGTTGAGAAGCAGCAGGTTGTTAGTATGACTTATGGTGAAGTGATAGAAAATAGTGCAATGATTGCACATAAGGGAGGAACTTATCAGTCTTATAATAATAGATCTGTTGGTTATCATGGAGGAGAAAACACAAGTAATTCACAAAATTCAACTCAGGTAGGAGGTTTCAATACTGCTGGTCAATCAGGAGGTTTTAATAATACTGGTTCTTTTGGTAGCTTCAATCACACTAGTTTTCCGGGAAAAATGAGTAACACAGGAAGTTATTGAAGGGGAAATGGCTTCAGGATGGATAAAGCTGCTAAGAGACTTCTGCATTGCAACCACTGCAATCAGAATGGGAATACAGAGGCCACATGTTTTAAGATATATGGATATCCTGACTGGTGGTCAGGAAACAAATCAACTGAAACTGCCAAGTCTACAGCTAACATGGTGGAAACACCATTGGATTTTGAGCAAGCAGAGAATCGTGGAGATCTTCAGAAGAATATCATGGTGAATCTGCAGGCTTTGCAGTAGGAAGTCAACAGGAATGTCGAAGGAAAAGTGGCAGCTTCAGGATCAGAACATATCAGCTTTGCTCATTTTAAAGATTTTGCAGGTATGAATAGTTATCATAAGTTGCATACCTTGGATCAAATTGCTCTTATTTTGTGGATCTTGGATAGTGGAGCAACTAGCCACATGAGTTCTAGCTTATCCATGTTTTTACATTACAAAAAGCTTACTAGTATGAGACCAGTTTACTTGCCTGATGAAAGCATTAAATCAGTTGATCATATAGGAGATGTGTCTTTGTCACAACATTTTGTGCTTCCAGATACCTTGCATATACCCTCTTTCAACTATAACCTTATATCAATTAACAAATTAGCCACTGCTTTCAAAATAGATTGCTTCTTTTCTACAATCTTTTGTGT